TTTCCCTGAGAACGTTCATTATTTTGCAGAATCGACTGGTGAAACAAATACCATCCAGAGGTTTCAGCCTGCGCGCCGCGTGCCGATAGTTTAATGGTTAACGCGCCTGCGTTAACCACTGCGCGTCTGGGAAACCACAGGTACGGGGTACGATTCCCCGCGATGCCCGCCCTTCCTGCCAGGGTGAGAGGCTGGCGGCGCGATATGGCCCCAACAACTGAGTACGTCATGGGGCTCCAATGGCTCGCCAGCAATGTCGGGAAGCAAGGATGGCGTTGGCTTGGGTAGCAGTTTTCTTAAATCCGAACGGCTTTGGCCACTGCAAGTAATGCCAGGGGCGGGCGCGGGGCGCGCAACGACAATGACGACAATGACAATCGTAAAATGATGTTTTTGAATGTCTTTTAAAATTCATTCACACAGTTTACAGATTGCACTGGGCAAACCTGTTTTTTATAACTTTAAGATTGTCCTCTGGACAGACTAGCAGCTACAGTAACACGATAAATGGAGGTTTTACCTTTACTCTTCCAGTTCCACCACCAAATTCCAGCACTACTTTCGCTTCGCGATGCTGTAAAGACGACTACGTTTTTGTCATCAATCTAAAATCCACTTACAATCAAATATACGCCCAATAAATCATATAGATCAAATATCATAGATCAAATATACGCCCAGAAGATCTCTAAATGTGTGATTTGATGCTCAAAACCCTTGAATGACATTTATTTCAGATGCGTCACTATTTTCGTCCACGTGTTGGCCACAATTTAATAATAGCCGCAGGGCCGACGCCGCGCGGCCTCAGGAGACTGCAATGCCTGGCGTCGAGGTTTTTGTTTCTAAGATATGCGATCGCGCGTGCTTAGAACTACGTCACATAACTTGTCCCACTTATCAGCTCTGACTGAATGTTGAAGATTTCCAGACAAGCACTGGCTTGGCCACGGTAGTACAAATTGTTAACCCATTTAGTCTTCGATCTACATTCGCAGAATCCTTGCTATCTCTGTGCTACCCTGATACAAATTCTGACAAAACTTTTGAGTTCTATCGGTTTATAAAGAGACCACTGGACAACTGTAAAACGAATAGCCGTCTATTTATTTTATGTAGTTATTGATACATGATTTTGTCAGTTTATTTAACCAAACCTAAGGAAGAATTGATTTCGCGGTAGCGTCTGGCCGATATTCCAGTTATAGAGGGTATGTTGTGTATATATATATATATATATATATATATATATATATATAACATTGATCATATATGCATAACATTTATGTATATACAACATTTATTACGTATATAAATATATACATATAATATCTAGGAGAACTTGTCCTCAATAACAAATGGGCCATATCCGGCGATTTTTTTTTGGGGGGGGCCCTTTAGCTATCAAGGGGCCCTTGCCAACCCTGTGCCCCCCCCCCTCCCCTTCCTTGCCAAGACTCTGACTGTGTTCCTGGTTCCGTTATGCAACTTGGTGATATTTAGCGACAAGTATAGCGTTCAAAGCGAGACTGTGTTTGCAGAAGACGCAGCGCATCATCTTCAGGCGTCATTGTGGAAACATTTGTTGATGTTTTCATCGAATCTGACGCGTCAGCAGGGCGACCATGGTCATGGTGTCCACGGCCTCGATTACATGTTATCATCATTTGCAACACATCCGGCCGTGTGTTGTGTAGTCTGAAGGAAAGTCAGTGGCACTGTCACCCTCTGCCCCACTCGCACGCGCCCGGAGCGAGCCGAGCCGGTCAGGACGCCGGCGTCGGTCACGGCCCCTGAATGGCAGGCCGGGCCGCGGCCTAATCCGCCGGCGCCATTCAGTCTCCCCGACTCTCTGTGTTTGCGCGACAAGGCCGCTCGCCGTGGGAGAACCGTGCCCCCCCCCCCCCCGCCCCCCGGCGAGCGGGACGGGAGCCTCTCGCCGCGCCCCTGCGCCGGCCGGCCGGCCTCCACAGCTGCCGCAGGCGCAGGAGCAGGCCGAGAGGCGCGCGCCAGACGACAGGGTCCGCCGCCGCCGGCACGCCCGTCAAATGCCCCGCGTCGGTCCGCTGACCTTTCCACGGACAGCTGGCAGCCGGCGCTGCGGTTCCTCCTGACGTTGGCTTGTCCCCTATCCCTTGTCTGACTGCTAGACACGGGTGCTTCCGGGTGTCCTTACACGCGGCAGTGCAGACAAGCGGAGCCAACGGGGCACGTGCCCTACCTATTCCCCTCGGGAATCCCGACCAAGAGCCCGATTTGAGGGTTCGAAGGCGCTGAAGCCTGGCCGGAGGTCAGCGTGTTGTGCATTGTCTTAGGGGCCCCAGCCCGCAGGGCCGGACCCTCGGGGCCTGGAGGTCGGAGATCGGGACCAGGTCCTCAGGGTCCTCGCGATCAACAATCATGGCTCCGACTGGAGCGCCCGAATGACAGGCTGGAGATAATCGTATTACGTGACTCCGGCCCACGGGCCCGGACCCTCAAGTCATAGGGCCTTTGTCCCGACTGGGTGCCCCTGAGTTGATGTGGGCCTCTGTTAGTCAGGCGCCAACAGTATCGAAAAGGCGGCTCTGTGTCGGCCTAAGCCTGAGGGTCCACTTCCCGAGCAGGAACATGGCCGGCTCCCGCGATTTGCGTAAGTCGGAGCCCCTGAGTTGATGCGGGGCCACCGTGTTCGTCAGGTGTTCAGAGTGCCTAACAGGAGGTTCTGTGTTTGCAAGGGTCCGATTCGGCCAGAGGCAGTGTTCGAGGGATACCGAAAAGGGGCCCGAAGTTCCCCTCGGGACCGAGTATTCAAGGGCCGTTTCGAGGGCCGAGTGTTCCGAAAGGTTTGCTGTAGGTCATATGAAGACCCCAGGTCAGTAGGCCCAGATTCTCAAATGTCAGAGTGCTTGTCGCATCGATTGAGGACCCCCTGGGACAATGCGGACCCCCCTTCTGTCAGCAATCACCAACACCCAACAGTCTTTTCCGTGTTGGTCTGAGCCCTGCGGGTCCATTCCACAAGCGGGGGTGTAAGCAGGCCGGGGCCCGCGCTATACACTGGCCGGGGCCCCTGAAATCATCAGATGCCTTGTGTCTCTCAGGAGCTCACAGCGCTGAACAGGAGGCACTGTGGCCGCGAGGGGCCCAAGGCGCCACGGGAATGTTTGCTGAACACGGGCAGGGACGGGACCTCGAACATCAGGGGGCCTCTTGTATCGATTGGGACCCTCTGATAATAAAAGGAAAAATGAGAACCTATGAATGAAGTCTACAATAAGACAGTGGAAGTACCCAGCACCGGACAGGGTACCCTCCATCGTCTTTTTTTGTCTAGGGTCCGTTTAGCCGAACCAGAGCCTCTGTGCCAATCACTGGACCTCTGCGGTGATAAGCTATATTTTCGCATCAATGATGGCTGCTGCGTCCACCCAGGGCCAGCTGTCCGAGTCAGAGAGCCTCCCGCGTCAGGGCGGGATCCAATGTATGATGTGGCCCTCTAAGGACCTCCCGATTGTCAGGGAACCCATCCCTGTGTCGCTAGAATAGCAGCTGGTAGGCACCCCGCGCTGCGATGGGATGATCTTAACCACCTAGCCGAAAGAAAAACTAGCCGGGGAACCTACGGGGACACCTGCCCGGAAAAGGGTAACAGGTCTAAGAGGTATGTGTGCAAGAGAGAGGATTGAAACGAGGTCAAACATGAAAAAGGTCAGCCTGTGTGTGTATCTGAGGAGGTTCATCCATTTGAGGATCAACGAGTGAAACAAATGACGTAAAACACCGATGACTGGTGTTGCAGTTCTCTGTTTCACCATTATGGGGCCCTTTGTTAACCCCGTGCCCCCTCCCCTTACTCCGACTCTGGCTGCGCCCTGCCCGCAAGCGCAAGACTCCGACCCCTGCCGGCCGCAGGATAGCTTAGACCCGCTGCAGCACGACCACTCAGGGCCCTCTGCACAACGTTGCTGGCAAGTGGAATCGTGGTGAACTTTTGTCGCTGCTGTTCGCATGCCTTTTCTCCATGATGACGGCGTCAACTTTGACTTTGACATGACTGCGCAGTCAGACCGTTACGGGGCCCGGTGCGTCATCGCATGCGAAACGATTGCGATTGTGTAGCGCCGCCCACTCTGAAAACGATGACGACTGCAAGGTATGCAACTCAGGCTCCTAAATATATTTCACATAGTTCGCCCACGCATCGCTTGCTTATGCATTGCCCTTTGCATGGACCTCGAAGGCGAGGTTCTGGCTTCAATTTTCTGACCTTGAGCTTGCAAGGCGGGTAAACTTTCATAGTTATGAATATTGAAAGGCAGCGTGCTTTACTCAGTCGTATCAAGCGCGATTAGATCTGTTGAAATTTGCTGCGATCACTTGAAGTGTGATCTTGCTCTCCTGTTCACTGACCGTCACGTTACCGTTTTCCCGTTCGCTGACCGTCACATTCCGTTATCGCCATTTAGTTTTGTTCCGTTGTGACTTCTTTATTGAGCCGACGAAAACGATGAATTTCGTATCTTCATGTCTATATTTCCGTCAGACCACATATCACATGCATAAATAAACTTTATATGCCCCGCAACATTGAACATAATGTAATGTAAGCTGACTGAGCCAGTCCAGGGACGATGCCTATCACGATGGTACGCTGCCCGACAAATCGCTGTCGCACAGATGCTAGTGATCCTTCACAGATGACACAGTCAGCAAAAAGGTTATCTTTTCAGAAGAACAACAAAGTTATGGTCACATTGTTGACGGTTGTCACCAGAGCAAAGCACTTGTCAAGTATTGCACAACATATTTGGTACATCAACAGAGGCGACATTTAACAACGACAAGTTGGACAGCAGGCTTTACTCAGTGACCTCCATCCGTCGCATGACCTGAAGCACAACCACATACATCGGACTCATGTGCATGTGGACGACGATCTCAGTGCAGGCCTCAGCGAGACCACGGCCACAGAACCACACACAAAAGTGTGCGCTGCCGTCTCTAGCCTTCCACCGAGACGCTGGGACTAGCTGGGTGCACGGATGCTCGGGGTATTAACCGAACAGTTGTTCCTCAGGTCATGTTTTTCACAGCGTGGCATGGGTAACTCAGCCACAGCCTGCCATCCGGAGCACCGCGACACTCGTTCGGTGATCTTGTGAGAGCCTGCCACGGCGGCCTGGACAGCTGGCTGTGAGAGCCTGCCACGGCGGCCTGGACAGCTGGCTGTGAGAGCCTGTACACGGCGACCTGGATAGCTGGCTGTGAGAGCCTGCCACGGCGGCCTGGACAGCTGGCTGTGAGAGCCTGCCACGGCGGCCTGGACAGCTGGCTGCTGCCGCTGAGGAGTGGCGACTCCGATCGCAGGCGACTCAGCTGTAGCCTGGCGGAGCTTGGGCACGGAAACCGATCGCAGGGGGTTCAGCTGTAGCCTGGCGTAGCTTGGGCAGGGAAACCGATCGCGGGGATCTCAGCTGTAGCCTGGCGGAGTTTGGGCGGGGAAACCGATCGCAGGGAGCTCAGCTGTAGCCTGGCGGAGCTTGGGCAGGGAAACCGATCGCAGGGAGCTCAGCTGTAGCCTGGCGGAGCTTGGGCACGGAAACCGATCGCAGGGGGTTCAGCTGTAGCCTGGCGGAGTTTGGGCGGGGAAGCCGCAGTCGGCTCAGAGTGCGAGCCGGTAGTGCAGCTGGCGTAGGTTGGGCAGTAGATCCAGGCTGGGCAGTTGGTCCAGGTTGGGCAGCCGGTCCAGGCAGGGTAGCGGCGGTCGGGTCAGAGTGCGGACGGGCAGTGCAGCCGGTCCTGTTAGGACAGATGGTCCAGGTAGGGCCGCTGTCCTAGGCGAGGTCACCGGTCCGGGTACGGCGGCCGCCGTCGGCTCAGAGCGCGGGTGGGTAGTGCAGCCGGTCCAGGTAGGGCAGCCGCAGCAGACCGGAGCCCGAGTGGGGGCTGAGCAGGGAGGGGAAAGGCGGCCCGAGCGCCGGCAGTAGGCCGCCCCCGGGCGGCACCAGTGAGTACCCGGAGCCGATGAGCGGCACCCCGCCGCCGCCGCCGGCGAAGTGAGGACTGAAGCTGCCCGTGTCACCGCCAGCAGCCGGCGCGTCCACGTCGTGCAGCTTCCTTGTGTGCTTCTTCAGGTCGAAGTTGCGGCAGAAGCCCTTGCCGCAGAGCTCGCAGATGAACGGCTTCTTTTCGTTGTGCGTGTGCATGTGGAACGTCAGGTTGTAGACCTGGTGGAACGCCTTGTTGCAGATGTGGCACTTGTACGCCTTCTCGCCGCTGTGCGTGAGTTTGTGGTTGCGGTAGTTGCCCTTCTGGTGGAAGCCCTTGCCGCAGAACTCGCAGACCCATGGTTTGTAGCCGCTGTGTATACGCATGTGCGTGTTGAGCGTGGAGCTCCTGTTGAAGGCCTTGCCGCACGTCTTGCATTTGTGCGGCTTCTCTGACGTATGGATGATCTTGTGTCTGCAGAGGGTGGACGCCTGGCGGAAGCCCTTGCCGCACACTTTACAGACGAACGGCCGGGCGCCCGTGTGCACTGGCATGTGGCGCGTCAGGTTGTAGTGCGCGTTGAACACCTTGCCGCATTCGGGGCAGGTGAAGGTCTTGCTCTTGGCGGTGGGCGGACGCGGCGCGGTCGTGTCGGTCGCGCTCCGGTCCGTCCCCGTCGGCGCCGGGACCGTCTGTGTGGCGGCCACCGGCTCGGCCAGCGCTGCCGTGTACTTGCTAAAAGCTGACGACTTGGAGAGCAGCGAGTAGGACGAGAGCGGCGGGAACACGCCAGCCGACGCCAGGCTGTAGTACTGGTACAGCCAGGGTGAGTGGCGCAGCAGGCTGGCGCCGTCACCGCCCGGCAGAAGGCCCAGTCGGCCCTGCAGGGATCGCTCCGGCTCGCCCGGCTCCTCCCGCCCCTCCTGCTCCGGTGGCTGCGGTGGCTCCGGTGGCTCCTCTCCCGGACCGCTCCGCTCCTCGGGCTCCCCCGACTCATCTGACTCCCGCCGACCTCCGGCCGTCAGCTCGTCCGCCTCGGCGAAGTCCATGATGCTGGCGATGCTGAACTTGAGCCGCCGGTGGCCGGCCCCTGTGCCGGCCGCCTCGCCGTCCGGTCCAGCAGCGGCGGCCGGCGCACCAGGACCAGGTGATGTCCTTGCTCTACTGACGTCATCAGGAGTCTTGTCGCCGGCGGGTTCTGACTGGGTGGACATTTTCTTCAGTTTCCTGCCGGTAACCGTGCGTGAGTTAGTCTCAAGGCAAAGACAAGTTGCGTGTTGCATCGTCGAATCATTAACGTTTCATTCGAATCGCTACGGGGAACACTAGCACATTTCATCAATAAAACCAGCAATGGGTAAAACAGTCTCAAGGGCAAAGCGGCAAATGAAGACCGAGATTGCCAAGATAATTAATTGGGGCATTCCTTGACAAATCGGCAGTTCTAAGGTTCAGTTTTACATCCTCATCTTTCGGATTTTCATAAAAACGAGAAAAAAGGGCGGTCAGTGACGCTGAAGACGCCTGTGACATTCAAAGGTCCCTCAGTTTTGCGATTTTGGAGGTACACCCCCCCGCATTTTCGTGTTGTGTGGTTGAAGAGCTGCGTTCGGCAGCGATTTTCGTGTTGTGTGGTTGAAGGGCTGTGTTCGGCGGCGATTTTCGTGTTGTATGGTTGAAGAGCTGCGTTCGGTGGCAATTTTTCACTACACTGAAGAAGCGCACAAACCTACGTGTCAAAATGATCCAAAAATATTCCAGATTGCGTGTGTGTCATGATTGGCACCGTCATTGCTCAAGAAATGTTGATGTTATTATGGGCATTTGTAATGCATGCAGAATCATTTTCCTTCGCGGCTCTAAACCTTTTGCCATTTGCATGTGATAGAGCGTTATTTTAACCCCATAATACAAAAATAGAAAGGTGGTCATCGGCTTAGAAAGGCTTGGAAACAGTATCACAATAAGGGTTTATCCCCTCATTCGCGCTATTCGCCGTCGGCTGCCTGCGCAGTATCTCTCACGCGTTTCTCCGCACAGGCGGTGGAAACTGAGCGCATTGTGAGAAAACACTAAGCTTGACAGCACGATGGCTAACCTACGCGTGGAAGTCAACCCATTGCGCCATTGACTCAGTCCAACTCACTCTAACTCATCAAAACTTTTGAAATCAAGCGTCTGTTATTTCCCTCCTAAAGCCTAAATCTACCTCACGGACAATGCCCGTCTGAGCACTCATTGGGTTACTCTGTGAGTCTTAAGTCTCTTTGACAGTCTTGGCCCTAGCCAACCTGATGCTAAGCGCATCCTCTGTCCCGAAGGACCTCTCCTTTTTTGTACGAAGGAACATTACGTCAGCACATTAGCCCTGCCTTGCAAGTACTGGCATAAGCTTCTCAGCAGAGAGAATATGATCGGAATGAAGTCGCGACAGGCTGACACTGGTAGCAACCATTTTCAAGGTTTCCAACCCCGTCGCAAGAGCTCTTTCCACGGAATGCGGCAAAGCAACGCCACTCGCACTTCGCACCAAAGTCCTCATGAAAGCATGCATTGCGTAGCTGATCCACCTGAAAAGTAGTACACTTCATATTTGAAACGAGGCTTTTCACGTCCGGTTAAAGGTACTGTAGATATGCATGGACCGCAATAGGCTATGTTCCATCGCGTCTGACAGCGCGCAATAACTTTAAAGCGTAATTTGTCCGGGCTATGGTCAATATACCGCGAGGAGGTGCAGCGCAGATTGCGGTGTACCCCAATAAATTGCTGGGGTTCGTCTTGGACGACGAAATGGCGGTGTTCTGAAAAAATCTTAAATGATCAAAGCTTCGTTCTCAGGCAGCCGTTTTAAAGATTATTGACAATTGCCTTATTGCCGGGCCGTAAAGTGATGCATGGTCACTGCAACTATGGGTTCTGACAATTTGGCCAAAAACTCAGCCATCGACAAAACAAACTTAATTTGAGTACAACGGTCGGTGCTCATCCACTACCTAAATCTCATTTCATTGAGTGAATAAAAAATGTCCTCTGCTTGCGCATTGACTACGTCAATTAAAGACGATCGCATACTGACTTAAATGCAGGACAATTTTCACACTCCCTCATCATAAAGAATTCCTATGAACCACCGCTTTTATGTTTTTTGGACTAAAGAAATCAAACTACGCTCCTCCTACATGCAAAGGAGAAAAAGATCGATATGACATAGGAAAACTGTTTTCGTGCCGTTCACAAGTTCATAATGCCCTGACTATTATCCAATGTGCAATGGCGATTTCAAGAGTGGCATGTAAATATTTAAGACAGCTTTGTGATCGCCTTAACGTATAGGTTTACAAAATATTCTTCCAAGCAAGTGAGAAAAAAAATTGTCACCGAAGGTAGCCTTGTAACTACGCAACTCGAAATTGTCGAAGGCTAAAACTCCGAAATGCCTACAACTGAGAGATCTAAAAATGTCACAGGTGACCTCAGCGCTGATGACAACACCTGTGGCTCATTTTAATGTGTCTAAGTACCCCGGAGCTCCTATCATAACACCATACCTTCAGTTCACTGGTTCTGGTGTCATGTCTGGTTCGAAGGCGTCCGATAGGCTGGCTTTAGCATTGTACCACAGCCTAGATAAGTACGAAGCATTTATGGCGGGCGGCACGATATATGCAGAAGTGAATACCAAAATAACGTATAAAGTCGGAAGTCGGGAGATGGAAGAGGGGACAGCCACCACCCCACACCAAACTTCCACAGTCCCTGCTCTGAAAAACACGCGTCGACGCCGCTGTCCCTGCAATTCAGATGTCTTGCACATTTGTGAACTTGTCTGCGTATTCGGCTGGTCATGCAGATGATGGCACATACGGCAAGATGCAGTGCAGCAATGCAGACAGCACAGAGGTCCGAGCATACAATGTGTGCTCCGTGGCATACGTGTCGTGCAACAAAGAAAATTGGCGCAGACAAGTCACGTTGCGTCCGTCTGCCGGGAGACGTCATCAGCTGGCGTAACCTTGTACTACAAAGACAAGTGTTCTTTTTTCGATTTCAAGGTCCAACGATCATTTAACGGTCCACCACATGACCACAACCATAAAGTCGATAATTTTTTAACTTTTGACTACGGACATTTGTTGTACCCTTCCAAAGCATGCATAATGAAAAACGCACTTAAATCCGCAGTGGACCCTGGCGCCTTCGCGTAAGATATTTTTATGAGTGTTGATGTTGAAGCTAAGTCAGGTTTTGATCCCATTAGCAAATTGCATTGCTCATTATAATCTATTAAGCTACGATTCTGTAAAGTATGGGATGTCCGCAAACGTTGTCGCCAGAAAAGCTTATTAATATTGAATTGTTGATGTATTTGTTGATCATGCCGCTTTTGCATTAGTAAAAAGCCTGCTACCTGGCTGAAGTTCTACTGGCCAATGTCTGTCCCTTCTTGGACGGAATCCCCTAATACTTTTTTTAAGTGTCGACTCTTGCAGGACGCTTATTGAAGGAGGGAAGACGACTGCAAGCTGTCAAGGAGTGGAAAGGCGCCCTGCTGTCAAACATTCCCGCTTCTGGCTTAAGCAATCCATGTGTTGCGCGACGCTTGTGTGGAATGTTGTGGCTGGCGTCGAAGCCATAAAAGATTTATAGAAGTTAGGCTTTATCTATTCATGTGGTTTAAGGTGTCCATGGAACACATAGCCAAAATGAAGGAAATTCTGCAGTGTCATTAATGATGTACTGTTGTTCGCATAATTCACATCCTAACCTCACAATATAAGCCAAAAGATGTTTGTCATGGTTAGCAAGCATGGCGGCTTCCAAAAAAAGTATCTGTAGTGATACGCTGTGGATTGCAATAATGCAATTTTTGTAAGGCACTAGGGCAGAGGCCTTTCTGAGGTGTCTCCCCTCTCCAAAGTAGTCCAAAATGATAACCCCCACCAAGTTGGTCTGTATGGTTGACGAGTACATTAATAAAAAGTACAATTTGTCTTTTTCTGCTACGTTTTCAGACGGAATGGAACAGGCGCGACACCAAAGAATGGCTGGGCCCTCTTTAGCCCTCTCTAGTCTGGTTGCTCTCAGACAAGATTAATCATATATTTATTTATTGAGGAATAACGATGATAAAAAGCTATAGCAGACTGTTGCGGTTTTCTGTTTTTCATCTGTTCGGGAAGTCACATTGTGGCATCATGCTGCTGTATGTAATCACCGCAATGATATAGCGTTGTGCTTGTAAAACGGCATGCGATGGTATATGGTTTCCCGTCATTGCCTTTTGTAATGGCATGCGATGTCTGTTGCATTAGCGTCGCACTTTAATGCATATAATATTTATGCACGCGTGTGTGCGTTAGTGGAAATGTGAGCTATGAACGTACGCTTGCGACGATGCCAAGCGGGATCCGGGAGAACTGTCGCCGTCTTCCCCACGCTTATGAAGGCTGCTGAAGAAGTGCTGCCGGCGACGGAGCTTTCAGTTGCTCAAGCCTTGTAATCCCACTTGATGATTGTGGAGGTCAGGGTTGCGCTACGCCCGCTAATTGCCATTATTACCTTGAATATATTTGAAGGATTGGACGTGCCAAAGCATCTTGTGTCGGAGTTCAATGCTGCTAGAATCTGCGGCTTTCTCCTGTGCGGGCTTATGGCCTACTCTAATCAGATTCAGCAGACATGTTCCCCTCTGCCAGGAGCCTGTTCATGCTGTACTACTCGCGCAAGGTTTTGGAGTTTAGGACGGGTCTCACCAGAGGCTAGAACCCGTAATGGCACCCCTCATCCCCTCAATAAAAATGGGAAAAGGGGTACCGGACCAAGGAAAAGCGGCACGCTTTCCGGAAATGCTGGTAGACCACGTACCCTAAAACACCACTTTAGGCTCAATATTTACTTTGTACCACATAGCATTTTGTAGGCGCCTTATGTGTTGTTGTCATTCCAGCTCCTTTACATACTCGATCAGTCTGCAAATACAGGCGGGCGTTTCACGAGATAACACTTGGATCGAGACATAAACACACACAGAATAAACTGCAAAATGCGGTGGCTTTTAAGTATTCGGCTCAGCACGCAGTCCTGTGTCAATGACTGCTCGAAACACAGAGCCGGAATATTTCGATAACACGTACCGAGCAGAAACACAGAAAGATATTTGCCAGTGGGTGGTTCGCCACAACGACTAGAGAAGCTTTTCTAAACACATCTAATTAAACAGCACTGCTAAAAAATATGGCAACAGCAAGCTGCTCAAAAGTCAAGCGTAAGGGTGTCAAAGTTCCAAGACGGCGTTCGTGTGTTCAGCCTCGGAAGAAGCTTATGTTTGCGCAACACTGCCGATATCTCGAGATCTTCGCGGTCGTTTGGCGTTGCTACAATATCTGCTTAAATGTTGGTGTTTGTTGTACCATATCCATTGCCGCGTTTCAGACTACCAACTACCAAGTGCTCAACCAGTGGCATGTACGCCCTCTGTCAACGGGCGTTTCCAAGGTGTCCACCACACCGCTCACGAACGCTACGTTTCGTTTTTCCTTCATACAAATCCCTCGGCATAGGCTATAAGAGACGTTTTATACTGTGTTCCTCCGTGTGCATTTTCCTATCAGTCGATTGACACGTGTAGGGCGAACCTATAATCCCGGCTGGACACGCTGGATTTTCGAGGGCTGATGACACTGGTATGGACTTCAGACGAGCACCGCCAGTCCTCGCCATCCTAAGGACGAGCAAACCATTCAACGGTATGATGGGATTCACCCGTCCGCCCAGCTTGCGAACTATGAACAGGAGCTTCACATACGGACGATTTCTTTGTTTCACCTTTGACACCTTCATCGCGAGCGTGATGTATTGTTAAACGAGGCTGCAGGATTTTACCAAAGTTGCGGGAAAGGACACAGCTTGGAAACGAAATACGAGTTGAGCACTCCACAGGAGCGCGGACCTTCCTGGGTGTCGTAAGACAGCATGGCATGCTCTTGATCTTGTTACTTGCACGTGTCTACCTGGAATTTTGGCTGCCAACATGAAGTCGCGTACATATTAATGCATGCTAGAAATGTTGTAATGGTGTGATACTATGTGCGTTCGCCCCTGTTTTTAAATCGAGGACGTGCTGCAAAAGCGGCAGACCTCACCCGGTGCTCCGGGGATCCACTCTCACTGGACAACACTGGATATTTTGGCACGACTACACTCACACGACTGGTGATCAGAAGATGCACGTGCCACTTTCGGTATTTGTTATGTAAGGACTGCCTCGTCAGGAGCCGTAGGGGTGTGCGGAATTATTATAACAGCGTGATGGCGGCCATGGCTTGGAAATACAGCTCGGTTGGATAATTTCTGCCTCATTGCACCACAAAAAGTGTACCCAGGAATGAAGATAACACATCTTGTGTGACGTGTTCTAGAATAAAAGAAATATTAGTGTGGCGCTAACTGCTTTTTACGAAGAAATCTGACTATGAACATAGCTTCGGAACGTGGAAATTTCTCAACATAACCACTGTATGCTTGATCATGTTTAATCAGCACCTTCTCCCAAGATGCAGGTCGATTATGTTCAGCGAACGTCTAGCACATAATGCCGAGACATCGCGAATGCAGCACCTTTCTCGCTGACGTCACCCTTCAAACTCCTGTCAAAGCGCTGGCTGCGCTGTTTGTTAAGACGGCCATTCTGTCGGCATGTCCGGTCACCAGCCTTGACCTACTCTGTCCTTCCAGCTATCGACATGACTAATGAGGTCATGCAAGCTCTGTTCCACCTTTAAGTGTAGGTTCTTCCTGGCAGTGCAAAATATGCACCTTATGTATCCGCTGCGCGGAAAGCGCCTCATATGCCCGCACTTCTTTAGTCCGCGCGTGTCAGATCGCTCCATTCTGCTGAAACTATTTCTGCGCGCCTCGGCCCATAAACGATAACGAGACTTATTGCCGGTGATCATATCGGACGGTCTTACTGAGGTCACCAATCTGGAGACTTAAAAGAATCACATCGGGAAGGCAAATTTACGTGGCCGAAATCCGGGGAAGTGTCAGATTTTGAGAGAAGTTGGTGAACCTTATCGACTGAGCTCACACCCTCAACTGATTTTGAAAAGTCGCACACCGGCAGGAACTATTTATTTCCGTCAACAAAAGAAGCTCAATAATAAGTTCAATCATAAACGTCGAATAAATTAGGAGTATTTCAGTTTACAAACAACGACTTGTAATGCGTGCATGCAGGTACTAAAGGACCTACCGAATGACAGGCTTTAGTAGGCACTGGGAAAAGGTGGATATCTACCGCCCGTGTTCCCCGGTCAGAACAGCAGCACCCGGCTGGTGATCTGGTGCCGCGTTCCCCGGATCACCAGCGCAGACCACGCTGGGTCGGCGCGGGTGCCGACTGGCTGGTGCGCGTCAATAGTCGGCCGTCGGTCGCGTACTGGTAACGGCGTCTGTGGCGGCTGGTGAATGTTCCAGATTTCCGAACCGATCAGGATAGGAGCGAGGCCAGCGGCCGCCGGCGCGCTGCTCCGGCCACGCTCAGTGCGAAGATTGCCGGTGCACCGCTAACCGATGCGGATGACGAGCAGCTGGGTGCGGTGTTTTAGCATCATTTTCATTTTTGAACGATACAAATTCAAATCGCATGGTCTGGCCCCACTGTGAAGCGAGTGTATCCCTTTTGGCCTTGAGATAGTTTCGTAGTTTGTGTTTGGTGGACAGCGTCAGCACACACCACGCCAACACCGTGCGGAAGCTACGCGGCTGTTGGCTAAGAGGCCCACCCCGACACTGCTCCGGCAGCACCTGTCACCGCGCTGACCGACAACTCACCTGTTCAGCGGTCTGCTCAGTCGGCCAGCGGGCTGTGAAAGGCGTCCCGTCCGGCCGCCACACGCCGTTCCTGCGGCCTCCCTGGCCACAACTGGCCCGCTGCCGCCGCCGCCGGCCGTCCGCCGCCGGCCGCTCGACAGCCAATCAACGCGCCGCACCCCGCCAATGGCGCGCCCGCGGTCCGGCCGCCGACCAATCAGCGCGTGCCGCCGCGCCCACCGCGGCCGGCCGGCCGGCTGGCAAATGCAACATGTCCCCGCCCGGGCTGCCGGGGCGGGCAGCGGCCGCCGCCGGCCGGACCGCGTCGCTGAGGCGCCACCCATCGGGGCGAGAGAGCGGGATGAGGGCTGCCAGATCACACGTCGGCGCACGCTGCTCGGCTGAGTGTCAAACTTGGAACATGCATTTAATGGGCTGGTTCGACTGCGTGTTTGCTGCGTTCATTATTTAACATACTTCAGGTTTGTTAAGCAATGAACACCACCGCACATTGCAGCGTGAGGAAAGTGCAATCCTCATGTTGTGTGAAGCACGATAAGCGATTAGGTAGATTGCACGTGACTTATGTTTATGGCTGTGAGCGTGGCCGGCTATCTTTTAGTGAGACATTAAGCTTAGTGGGTTTTTGCGTTCTTAGTTCGGCATGTCGTGTCTTCTTCATTTCGTGCCCGCAGCCGCGGCATCCGACTGTCCCGTTACGGCCAGTGCGGACAGAACGAATCAAAAGTGAATATGGTGCAAAGGTTTCGCTCAATAGCTCACCTGAGTGCCGGCGCAGGCGCTAGTTTTCACGACGCGGCGCCGAAACACATCCTGTGGTCAGCAACAGACCAACTTTGAACCGACCAACCAACCAACCAACAAAAAAACCTTGACTGCAATATGCCGTGGGAAACTCGCCAGAGCGTGACGGACAACTTTGTAACGGATGCCTACAAGGCAAGCATCACACATGCTTCCCCTTACTTCTCATCTTCAATGAAACGGCTTGCTCATCTTTGCATTAGTCGACACATCCTGTCGTTGGCAAGATTCCGAACGTTTAGCATTGTCGATAGAGAACACTGCAGGTGAAAATTAGCATTTCGAACTTGCGTTGATCACATGAACAAACTTCTTGCAGCTTGAGGAAAGCGCAGCCCTCACATGAACTCTGTTTAAACGCGCGCTCTAGATCACCAATGACTGCAATTTTTTTCGCCCCAAATTCCAATGCCTGTCAAAATAACACACAAAAGCAAATAAACCAAGACTAATGCAACTTGTCAGCGTTATTTGACTTCTCTGCCGAATCGTAGTAAGCATGCATTCCATCCAGAGGTGCCGTTTTCTGGAACTTCTTGTCCAGAGTCCAATCCAAAGTCCAAGGATAAACTATCCGTTCGTCCGAAAATTGTCCAAAAGTTAGGTTGCCCAAAATATTCGAAATTTAAAAGATGCAAACATCCAGATGTTCTAGAATAATTTGCGGCACGTCAAAATGACAGTGACTGTCCAAAACATTTCAGAGATTATTAGCTCTGTGCATCCAATTTCCAAATTAAATTTGGAAAAGTTTTGGAATTGGAAAAGATTTGGAATCCAATCGGCATCCAATAATCTCAACAGCCTGACCACGCCATTTGTGCACCAAATTATTTGGTAAATCACTGTGGATAGGCGCACAACATAACTTCGGGGCCCGTCTGAATAACATCAGCCGCTGTGATGATTGTAATCTCCCTGCCTGGGGCAATCAACAAACACTCAGCGAGCCGACGGATTTCATTCCGTGCCAAGGGCTGCCACTTACTCGTCGGAGAGACGCGATGACAAAATCCTCAATTCACCTAAAGACTGGAGAGCAGTTGGAATGGCCTTATTCCTCGTTGCATAACTAAGAGAAAAAAGAGAGCTGTTTTGGTTATACTGGTCACAGCCCCAGTCGAACCAATTATGAGCTGAGAGCAAATGGATGTGGTAGTTTCTCGGTAGTCCTTTAAATGTTACGCGAAATAAGAGAGTTGACAGATTCGGAGGGTACGGATCTACGCACATTTTGTACATCATGTCGTGATCTCTGCCTGTGCGGTGTCATTGGTGTACTGCAACTTTTTCCAAAAATTTGAACTGGAAACATCTGTCCCCCTCCTTCCGCTGTCCCTGGAAATGGAAGCAGGTGTCTGAAAAGTGCTGGGCATATTACAACACCATTTCAAATAAAATGCGCATTTCACCTCAATGACAAGGAGTTGGTGAACACATTAGAGCCACAATGTCAATACACGGGCCTTGCTGCAAACCCTCTCTTTTAAGCATAAAAGGGAACTCAAAGTGCACTGGGAGCACTAGGTTCTGTGATCGCACTACAGTGAGATCACATGACCTGTTAGATGGGGTGCATTCGCAGCGACTCGGGCGACGCAGAATCTATGCCGTCGACGTCGCCATGACATCATACCCTACATATTCTGCGCTGTTTGGTGCTCGCAGCGACCCAGACGACAAAGGGTTCACTTGACGTCACGTAGAATCCTTGCCGAACGAGTAGGGCCTTGTCCTGCGATTCGATCGAAGTGAGACAGAAATAGCGCCACAGATTGAATTATCCACAGGTCTTTGGCGTGGCGTGCTATTGGCGTGATTACGACCGACCACAAGTGATGAAAAAGTATTGTACGCAATACGTGAAGCTTAATTTGCAGTTTCCATTATTAGAAGCATTCAAAGTGCCTGTAAACGAAAATATTGTGGTTTTGCATGCGCAGTTATTATCACGACAGTTACGAAGATGTAAAAAGTGAATCGCACTGCGAACACGCTCGGCAAAGATTCTACACAATGTTACGTAGAAAAGAATAGTCTTGGTGCGCTGCGAATAAAGCCATGGTCACAGAAGCTTGGTACTAGGCGGCAGAGCTATGTGTCAGAGACTGTACATGACGGCAGAGCACAGTTTCAAAGATCGCATACGACTGATGTGCGAAAAAGATTATTGAAAATCCGTGGCCCTATCTATACCATGCCTGCTCAGCTTTGGTAAGGTACAAAGACAACACGATCGCCATATTTGTCGTTTGACTCGTATGGGAAATGCAGAAGAAGTGCTCCTTCTGACATTTATTTCACTTACGATCACCATCTATGCCGACTATTTCGAGGAAAGAAAACGATGCTCCCAGGACTTATGCTAAAAGAAATTGATTAGTAGACCCCCCAAACGAAAGAAGACTCTAACTTCAACGTGTTTTCAATGAACGCATTTGCTAAGTCTGTCCAATATAATTTATGTCGGTGAATAGCTCTGGCGATTCAGGCTAACACTTCAGTCTCTATCGTGTCGACCCTAAATTTCCCGCCAGTTATTTTAAGCTGTTCTCATGGTTAACCTGTCCGCTCTTGTAACACGGGGTCAAATAACGTTTTGCTTTTGGTGCATGGGCACGGAACACTTTTGCTAAGCTATTACGGTATATCATAGCCTGTCCACATCAAAGCCCCTGAAAGTTATCATATGTCTGCACGGCAAAGCCGGCTTGAAGGGCTGTTCCAGATTTGTGTGGGGTTTTTAATCGAAATAGCCATCTTGAAGATAATTCGGTGTAATGCACAGCCCTATCCTTCTCAAAACCTACCCCCCCCCCCCTCCCCCACTAAGCTTTGTTCGTCCAATGATATCTTCCTGTATGTTTGAATGTACTGTAAATCAAATTGGTACAAAGCAAGGTAGCACCTGCATAACTTGCTTCCCCTGGCCAGGAGAATTCTGTCTTCCGCTCTGTACCTTACAGCATCTGACAAGGCTCCTTCTCGCGTTTTAATGACGTTTTGTGAATAATTTTCACGGTCAGTTTGACCAAAATGCTTATAATCAAACCATAAAGCCTCATCAGCTTTATTAACCACGCAGCATCTACACCTTCCGGCAAAACTCACCAGCTCCTGACTCACGTATATTTACATACGAATCAGATGTAATCTCCTTGTTTAACCATCCAATGTAAGCCGCGCCATAAATGTGCCCACATCTCCTGCGCTGCGCCATCTAATACCTCGGACTAATCCGACTCGAGCGTTTATAGATGAGGCCCAACGAGCCGCCTCCCTGCAGCTCATTCAGCCGGCCAATAACTACCAATCGGGCCGGCCGGCCGCGCCGCACCCGCGCCCATGTGTTTTCCTTTCAATCCGGAAGCCGATTATGCGCGCTTTCTATATCTGCGGACGCGCGTGCGCGCGCGCTGTCGTTGGCGGCCGTTTGGCGGCGCGCGGCCGACAGACGGCGCGGCCCGCCCCCGGCCGATTACGGGCGGACGGGGCGCGGCGTCCGGCCAAGGCCAGGCCCCCGTCGCCGGCCGCGGGGGCGACGGACGCGCGCTGGAGACCGACCGCTCCGTCCGGGGGTAGTGGAGGTCTGGTGAATTAAACGGGTGAAGGCCATGAAAAAAACGTTTCAAAGCATTTGCTCCGTTTTGTGTCTGGGCTCCCTTGGAAGTGGTGCGACGTTTGGGTGCATCTGCCCTATTGCTGCCCCTAAGCTTCATAGAATTAGTTTGGAAGTATTTAAGGCATGGAGTTGGTCAGGGAGCCCCAAATACAAAAAACTGTTTTTATTATCAAGCAACAAATACTTTTTGGTATGGGCTTGAACTGAACGATGTCGCATGTTCTGTGTCAGCTCTACACGCATGCAGTTGAAATTTGAGAGAATACACATATAAACAGATGTAATAAATCGTTCCAAAATTGCTTGCATACCTTCCAGCCTGTCCCAGACTTCAAATAAGTTTCAATGGAGGTTGAAGTAGATAGCAAAAATAATTGGAATTCAAAAGCAAAGAGCGAATTGTACGACATGTGTCTCCGTGCATAAACTTATATCAGGCGTGTAGAGCTACTACATCCTAGTTAACTCGATTTGCAAGCACCTGTGAGACCGTTTTTAAGGAATCAACCGCGAGGCTTCCTGAATATTTGATGGGAATGTTCCACATTTGAGGATAGTGATGCACGCAATAGATATGATGAAATAAGCTCGCTTATAACAATCGATATATTTTTTTAGGTGTAAAAGGCTGCTCAAGACAGCAAAACTTCTC